GGAATGTAAATTACAGAATTAATAAGTATTTTGGATTTCAAGAAAGAACAAAAATAAACCTTTATAATCTGGGGATAATATTTTAGGATAAGGTTATTTGGGTAAGCGAAGTGTTATTAATACTTCTCTGCAATTGACGGTTTGGCCTGCTTTTCCCTTTACTTTTCATGCAGAATTTCTCACGCAACTCAGTTGAGAGTCACTTTGGATTTGGGTGATTATTTGGGGGTATTCCAAGCCAGGATAAGAGTGGTAGACTCTATTGAGTCTTCCTGATTCTATCAGGGCAACTACAGTCTTAAAATTATATTGAAGTGTTTGGGGGTCCACTTCCATATGTCTAAGTGCACTGTCCATCTCTGTGTGATGCAGTAAATGTAACATGTGTCCAATTAACAGCAAGACTAACACTTGCCTACTTTGAAATGCAGTGGCAAAATATTATGCATTTACAAATTTATGTTGAATATAGTTATTTTATGAACTTGTTTTTCTTTATCCATTTTTATAATCTCAACATGAGCCTCCTTTCTCAGACAGAAAAAGAAAATGTAATTCCCGGTTCTAAAGAGCTCTCAGCTACCATCCTGAAACCAATCTCTTGGGTCTGGAATACAAGCATCAGTCCTGGTAGAGACTGAATTCCTACAATATAGAGTCAAGGAAAGTCAGCCTAACCTAGGACTGTTAAAGGGAAACAGAAAATACTCTTTTAGAGGAGCTGGTATTAATACAAGTAGAGATGTCAGATTGAAGAAACGATCACTGTTTTGGGTGTTGTGTTCTACAGTTTCAGTCCATTTCAAGAAATGCCACTGAGAAACCAAAACAAACACCAGCTACCCAGCAACTCTGCTTTTAAGGTCATCAGGCCTTAGGTGATCATCCTGGACTGAGGTATTTGCAATAAAATTCTAGGTTTATCCACAAATTGTGAGAGTTCCTTAGAGTTTGCTGTGTTGAAATATAAGGAAATAACTCTGATGGATATATAAAATCAAAATGCTTCAAGTGTTCATCAGACAAAGAATTTACATTCATCATGGTAGTTATTTACCTAATGCCCTGCCTCAATTTGACCTGTTTGCTACAAGAAGGCGATGCTTTTATGTCACTAATGAGCAGGAGCAGATGGAGATGACCCAGTGAGTTTAAGGGTAAGTGACAAGCATGGCAGAGGACATGTAAATACTTGTTGACAGAACTGGGCCAAGAGTTCAGGGTTCCTCATGCTAAGTTCAGAGCTTCTTTGAGGACCTTCACTTGTCCTCTGAAGCTGCTGTGATGAACTGTCCAGTTTATCAACTATATGTCCCCATCTGGGAATCTTCTCTACTTGGATAAGTCTTGGGGCACCCAGAATGATCCCCAGGCTCTGCCTCTGTCTCACATTGTCTCCAACAGGCTTCTCCACTGGGCCTGAGCCTTGGTGTCCTTTCCCTTCCTAAGATAGACCTGAGGCAGCTAACTCTGCATCAGAGCTGTGCACCCTACTTCTCACAAGTGATGCACAAAGGGCTCTCACCCCATTGCAGAGCAATGAACTTGCCTCTCTGTACACAGAGGGGGTTGACAGAGAAAGCTCCTATGCCTTCTAGATCTTTAGATCCTGCAACTTCTAAAGCTTACGCTTTCTTATGTTTTTTTTTTTTCCTACCAGAATCTAGAACTATTATATGTGAAAGAGTGAATAGAAATGGAACTTATTTGGAGATTCAAGGCTAGATTTGAAGTCAAAGATGGTTCAGGATAATACAGAGAACTAGAGAAAGGCCACAGGAATAGGTGATGGATAAAAGAGAGCAGTGAAAGTGAAAAGTGAAAGTGTTACTCACTCAGTAGTGTCTGACTCTTTGTGACCCCATAAACTGTAGCCTACCAGACTCCTCTGTCCATAGAATTCTCCAGGCAAGAATACTGGAGTGGTTTGCTATTCCCTTCTCCAGGAGATCTGCCTGACCTAGGGATTGAACACAGTTCTGCACTGCAGGCAGATTCTTTACCGTCTGAGCCACCAGGGAAAAGACAGAATCAGGGGGAATGCAGGATCATAGAGCTCACTTCTCTTAACCAACTGGTAGACCCTGGAGAATAGAGAATGGAAGAACATGTGTGTGTATGTTGGGGTGGGTGTAGATTCTTCACATGTAGTTTATTTAAGTTTGATTCTTTTACTTTCTCAATTTCACATAATCATGAAAACTCTGCAAACCTCATTCTTATGGAATGAAGCAATTTGATTCCCATTTTGGGGATGATCATATGTAAATGCTGAATACCTTTGCTGGTGACAAGTCCTTTGAGAAATGCATGGTCCAGTTTTAAACATTTCACTACTTCTTGATTATACTTCTAAATTCTTCATGTTCAAAATAATTTTTCTTATTTTCCTTTCCTGATAATGATCTAAGAGTTGGACATACATTTCCATAAACAGAGTCAGTGGGACATACATTTCTATAAACAGAGTCAGTCAGTATTTAAAAGCAGTTTTCACCCACAGGAGATTTAAAAATAATTCTATAATTAAACCAGTAACACAAAAAGAGAGCTGATGTCCTAAATGTCTTTCATTTCTTCCATTATCAGCATCATAAAGGGACAGGATTCAGGAGATAATCATGTTTAAGTATACCTGTTATTAAACTTCACAGTTCCACTAAAGCTTAGGGTTTCTCCATGTCTTAAATTTAATTCTATCTTTTTAAAATACAGGAAACAGCCTTTCAAGAGGAAGGCAAGATAGGAGTTTCAAAGAGAATGGGAATTACTGATGTACAGGGAGACTTAAATCAGCATTCACAAATTTATTAGTGCCAGGCCAACGTGAGTAATAAAATATATATGCACTTGCTCACTAGACATTTCACAGGTTGATAATATAACATTCTGTAGTCTGCTACACATGTTAGAAAGTAGTCTCTGTTTTTTCTTACTCTTTGGTCAAATGTGGGCCAACAAAAATGACTCAATTATGCAGATTTCCTTTTTACCCCTTGTCATGTGATTTCAAACACACTGGTGGAGGGTTGCTTTGATCAGTTCCCATCAGGTTTAACTAGAACAGTATTAAACCATTATGATAAAGTTGCAGTTGACTTTTTACTACCTAGACAGAGTTAGGTACCTCCTGACACCAACAGAATGACTTTTTCCTCTTCTTAGCAACAAGAAAGCACAATATACCCTACTCATTGCTTAAGTGGACCTTAACAATCACTTTCAAGGGACACACCATTGCTGAAGACTGAAGAGTAATATTTATCAACATTAAATAGACACTTGGTGAAATATGCATAAATATGTCTTCTTATAAACATAACATGAAATTAAATAGTTCAGGAACACAGACAACTGAGTACAGTTCCACTGTTGTCAAAATCTGCTGTAAACACCAGCTCACACTGAACACAGAAGCAGCTTCTAACCCGGCTCTGGGTTCACGACACAGAGACCCTGTACAGACAGAAGATTTCTCCTCAGCCCCCCACCTCCCACCCTCCCACTCCCCACGCAGCCCCCACAAAAGGAGAAAAGGAACCCCAACAACTATAGCAGCAACACAGATGACAGCCACAGCAGCGCCCCTCCCCTCCCCCAAACAGGACGGTTAGCATTTGGGTCAATTCAGAAGAGAACACAAAAATCACTTTTTAGAAACGTACTAAAGAAATCAATTTGCAGCAATACTTTTCAGAGTGTAATACTTTCTTCAGAGGATTTGGGACTTGCCAACCCCCACCTATTCTGGGTGAAGGTCACACAAAAGCACTGGCCACAGCAAAGTGACAAGAGTTTTAAGCCCTTTTGCATTTAAAGATGTTGAGTAGCAAGAAATCGAATCCTGTGTTCCTCTCTGGCCCTCACAAGGTCTCTTCTGCTTTGCCCCCGGTAATGTTGTGCATGAAATTCAAATGTGACACTATTATTAAATTTCAAGCAGGTAAGATAGCAAAGGTTTTGGTTGGAAACATTCAGATTTGGACCATGAAATTCAAACCCTCGGATGTGACTCATTCTTTGGGCACAGAGGGGGGCCCCCATTTGATTTAGCTTTGTTGAGGGTGTCAACAAAGGTGACAACTTACTCAGAATCTGGTCAGACCATGGTGCTCATCTGACTGTCCTACACAGATCAGCCCAGAGGGCCTGGCTGCTGTCTGCTGCCTATTCTCCAGGAAAACAGCCCTGGCTTCCAAAACACTACTGGGTTTATTTCACTCCTACGTTGTGTTAGGATCCTAGAGAAACTTTAGTCACCAAAGTACTGAAAGCATCTATTGCCGGAGTAATTTGCCAGTTCATTAATTCCCATTATATTATATACACTATGTGTGTGTGCGTGGAATTCACACACATACACACACACACACACACACATATCTACATATATATTTATATATCTTTTACTTGTATGAAACTTGAACTGCACAAAATAGTACTTTGCAAGAATCAAGTCCACAAAGAGAGTTTAATGACACACCCATGAGAAGACGGAGAGCTCTACTGGGACGAGGAGGTGCTGTTTTGCAATGTATGAAAGAATTTCAGAACCATGGGATTCACTAGCCTGACATGTTCCACTTGGGATCCGATGGACACTTTGGGGATCCTTGGAGAGCATGTGACAATGGGCCAGCTAGTTATGCTCACCGGGATTCCAGAGCCAATGGGAATTAAAAGACCCAGGCAGACCAATCTGGGTGTGTAATTGCTATGAAAAAATTATTTCCTTCTCTTTAAGAAAAAACAAAGTCTATTTCAGAATAAATTCCTTCATATTCAGTAATAAGCTTACTTATTTTTGGCTGAATAGGTATTTGACTTTTGACATTAAAATGGGTTTATTTAATGGACCAGGAAACAGGCAGCTTCTTTCACGTCTGGGTGATAAAAACATGTTTATCAGCGCCAGAGATCACCCCCACCCTCACCTTACTCCCTCCTAAGGTTTTGGGTTGATGTGTGCGTTTGGTGACGGCTATTGAACGCACCCCAGTCTACAAGGCCTGCTCAGGCACCCGCTTGTGGAAAATGACCGACTGTCTCTGCTGGTACTGCTGCTTGCGTCTCTTCCTCTTGTCACACTGACACAACAGCAGCATCTTGAAAGTGTTTCTGAAAGTTTTGTTGCACAGGGCATAGCACACGGGGTTCACGGTGCTGTTGATGTAGCACAGCCAGTAGCCCAGATTCCAATAGGTTTTGGGGATGCAGCTGTCACAAAAGGTGTTCACCAGAACCATGATATTGTAGGGGGTCCAGGTGATGATGAAGGCAAGCAGGATGGCGCTGAGGGTCTGGGCTGCTTTCTTCTCCTTGATGAGGGACATCCGTTTTCGCTTAGTGATTTGGCTTCTGGTCTTCAGAGCAAACCTCTTGGCCAGCGTAGCTTCCTTGAAGGACAGAGGTAGAGTGGCCGTGGTCTTACCCACCGAGGAGTTGACATCAGAGGCCTTGGCTGTGTCCACGGCAGACTCTAACTGGATGGGAAGCTTGGAGAAGCTTTTCTGAAAGCTGCCTCCATCATCCATGCTCTGCTGGGCCTGAAGCTTGCTGGTTTTCTTCTCCAAGCCCACTGTCCCCAGCTCCTCCTCCGGCACCTGCAGGTTGTCGGATGAGGGTAGTTTGGTGGAGTTGAGGATGGTGCTGTGACCTGGGAGCTTGAGCACGATGGAGTAGATGGCTCTGGTCTCTGAGCCAATGTCCTCCTCGTCGGAGGAGGCAGAGTTCTCCAGAGAGGCAGCAGCATCGTTGTTATTCCAGCTGTCGCTGCTGCTGTGGTCTTGATCCATCTGCTCGGCGCTTGGCTTCCAGCTCTTGGTTGAGAACCAGAAGTGGCAGCGTCCGTACTTCCTCCTGGCTGAGCGTTTCATGCTCTGCTGCTGGAGCTCATAGCTGCTGCAGCTTCGAGAACTGCCCGTGGGGTGGACAAAGTTCTCTGCCTCGGCCTCTGTTCCAGAGGCCTGCAGCCCAGCAAGTTCTTTGGTACGTTTTTCAGTTTCCTTATAGATCCTCCAGTATAAAATAGTCATGATGGTGACAGGCATATAAAAGGCAGCGATGGCCGTACCAAAGGTGATGGTGGGCTCACTGAGGAACTGGATGAAACATTCCCCTGGAGGCACAGTCCTCTTCCCAACAAAGTATTGCCAGAACAAGATGGCAGGAGCCCAAAGGATGAAGGAGATGACCCAAGCCAGACCTATCATCACACCGGCTCGCTTTGTTGTCCGTTTGGCTCGGTACGTGAGCGGCCTCGTGATGGAAAAGTATCTGTCAAAGCTGATGACCAGAAGGTTCATGACGGAGGCATTGCTGGCCACATAGTCAATAGACAGCCAGAGGTCACAGGCCAGGTTCCCCAACGCCCACCGGTTCATGATGATGTAGGTAGTAAACAGATTCATTGAAATGACCCCGATGATCAGGTCAGCACAGGCCAGGCTCAAGAGGAAGTAATTGTTGACTGTCTTCAGCTGCTTGTTGACCTTGAATGCCACGATCACCAGGATGTTGCCAATGATGGTCACCAAGGCCAGGACGCCTGTTAAGAATGCAATGAAGACCACCTGCCAGATGGTATGACCTCCCAGAGGGTCACTGGTGGTGCCGTTTGCAGAGGAGAGATTCCCAGCTGCCCGAGAAATGTTGTAGCTGCCAAAATGAGTAACCGTTCCTGGGGGCAGCCCTGTATCCGAAGGGCCGTGAATCCAGGAAGAGCTGATGTTCAGAAACAAGGGTGAGGTTGTATTGTTATTGTGCAAGGTCATGGTGACTCTCTGACATAGTCTGGGGAGAAAAGAGAAAAGATGGAGTCAGGACCATTACTGCCCTCACTGGATTTGTTTTCTGCATTGCATCCTCTAAAAGACATGGAAGACATATCATCGGATGATGTGTGTGCCCCCACGGACCGTAGCCTGCCAGGCTCTTCTGTCCATGAGACTCTCCAGGCAAGAATACTGGAGTGGGTTGCCATTCCCTTCTCCAGGGGATCTTCCCAACCCAGGGATGAAACCTGGGTCTCCTGCACTGCAGGCGGAGTCTATATTCTCAGCCACCAGGGGAGCCCTATTAATATGAACCTGAGACGGCCCTCCACATCAGGTTCATTCTCTCATTTTAAAGATCATGAGTTGTCAACTTTATTTCGATAAAAATAAATGAATTAAATCAAGGTGAGGAGCACAAGGCAGACATAGATTGATTTCTTTGAGGTAGCACAATTAGCTGGTTGGCATGCACTTAGCTTTGTGTTTTTTCTCCACATTTTCCACATTTCTACAGACCACAAATACTTCCACATGATGGCGCTATCAAACAAAATCCTCATCCCTTCTCATATTTTGAAAAGTATGGGAAATACTGTAGATGCAATATGATATCCAGCACCACTTTAGTCTCATGCTACATGAGAAGTTGGTCTTACTCATTTGCATTTTATACACCCGGGCCTTTAGCTATCCCAGGCTTTAGACATAAGCAACTCTAAGGCAATTCCAGCTATGTCAGCCTCATTGGAATAAGCAACAACAGCCTGGAGCAAGGTGGGAAGTAAGCATATAATCACGTCACTTGATATTTTCTCTTTGACACACAGTTAGAAAAAGAATGTACTGGTTCTTTGGAATGGTTGGGAACAGTATACAAGGCAGCCATCTTATGCTTGATAATATGCAGAACCCTGATGAGACTGTACTGAACTGAACAGTCTGAACTGAACCAGTTCTGAATATTTCTAGTATTTAGATACATTATCTCTAGTTATGAAAATGCATTTAGTACCACACACATGCAATAAATAGTTGCAACACTAAAACACTAAAATTAGCTCTTTGAAAAAAAAATTTCTTTTTTTTATTTGGCAGCACTTAGTCTTAGTTTCAGCTCATGGGATCTTTTTCAGCTGTGGCATGCAGAATCTTTTTTAAAGTTGTGACTTGTGAGATATAGTTCCCTGATCAGGGATCCAACCTGGAGCCCTTGCATTGCAAGCAGTCTTAACCACTGGACCATGTGGGAAGTCCCAGTTCTTTTTTTTTTTTTAATTTTAAATTTTATATTAGAGTATAGTTGATTTACAATATTGTGTTACTTTCAGGTGTAAAGTGATTCAGTTACACATACACATATATTCATTCTTTTTCAGATTCTTTTCACACAGAGGTTATTATAGAATATGAATAGAATTCCCTGTTTGATATTCAGTAGGTCCTTGTTGATTATTTATTTTATATATAGTAGTACATATATGTTAATCTCAAGCTCCTAATTTATCCCTCCCCCACCCACATTTCCACTTTGGTAACCATAAATTTGTTTTCAAAATCTGTAAGTCTGTTTCTGTTTTGTAAACACATTCATTTGTATCACTTTTTTTTTTTTTTGCAATTAGTTCTGTCAATCACTTGTTACCAAAATAAGTAAATGACCAAGAATGGTTACAATGAATGCATCTCTAGTAAGACCCTCTGTGCTGTCAGGGAAAGCCATATGTTGAGACCTGCCTCAACCTCTTAGAACCTCCAGGCTTGTACTTTCACGTCACAGCTGACTCTGGGATTCTCATAGCACCAGTCTCTGTGGACTTTATTCAGTGAATCATCCCTCAATGAGTGTCACACCAAAAATGCAACATTTGAGAATCACAGCAAAGTTCTACTGAGACCACAGTCTAGTGTGTTGTGGCTCTTGGTTAAAAGTGTTCAACTGTAAACATTTACAGTGCAAATATGTTGACATATGCACATGGTAAGAGTCCTAAATTAAGCCTTTAGATACTGCAGGTCAGGGCACCTCTCAAAGCAGTGCAGTGAGATTCACAGAATCATGTGTATGCATATACGATTGGACATATGCAAGCACACACACCTTTACATTCATAAATACATACATTCACTTCAGTACCATTTGCAATAGTAGAATATTGTAACTAGTCTAGATAGAATGTATTATTACATAGAAGAATAGTTTAAAAACTGTATAATCCATCACTATTTTCCCATACATGAAATCTACATTGCACTAATTGCTGCGGGTTTTTTTTTCTTCATTTCTTTTTATTTTTCTGGGTTTTATTAGGTGCTGTCAGCTCATCTATATCTCCAGCTCCCTCTCAAAGGGATGTCCATATTTAGGAAGGGCTACATGCTGTTTGGGGTACTCAACAGCATTTATGATTTCTTCCAAGGTACATAGGGATTCCCTGGTAGCCCAGCTGGTAAAGAATCTGCCTGCAATGCAGGAGACCTGGGTTTGATCCCTGGGTTGGGAAGATCCCCTGGAGAAGGGAATAGCTACCCACTCCAGTATTCTGGCCTGGAGAATTCCTTGGGGTCACAAACAGTCAGACACAACTGAGCGACTTTTGCTTTCACTTTCCGAGGTACATATATGGAAAGTCAATATGCTCTCCCTTCTCCATGCGGATCCCAGTTTGGCATAGTTCTAAAGGTGTTTGCCGTGGTACCTCCTCCACTGCACCTATAGCTACATATATGAGATCAGCCTTGTCTTTAGTGAGACACCTTTGCTCAATAATCTGCCTAGGAAATTAATGACCAGTTTTCTATTAAGGGGTTGAGGATGCATCTCCAAAGTCCTCCACTACGTTTGTTCAGATAAGGATTCTTTTTTTCTATCACTCTTACTCACGCATTTCTCATTTTCAGACACCATACCCTTGCTAATTTTTTATATACAGACAATCCCCAGATTTTTGACTTTATAATGATATAAAAGTGATATGCATTCCAGCAGAAATCATACTTTGAATTTTGACGTCTTCTTCAGGTGAGTGATATGAGTTATAGGACTTTCCCATGATATGAGGCAGTGGCGGAGAGCCACAGGTCTGCCAGCCACATGATCAAGAGGGTAAGCAACTGACATACTAACAACCATTCTGTACCCAGACAACCATTCTGGCTTTCACTTTCAGTACAGTATCCAGTCAGGAATATGAACCATTCAACTTCATTATAAAATAGGCTTTGTGTGAGATGTTTTTGTCCAGCCACAGGCTCATGTGAGTGAGTGTCCTAAGTAGGTTAGGCTAAGCTATATGTTAGGTAGGTTAGGTGTATTACACGCATTTTCAACTTAACAACATTTTCAACTTACAATGGGTTCATCAGGAGTATCCCTATCATAAGTTGAGGAAGATCTGTGCTGAGTAGCTTTTATATTCCCACCACCTTTCACTCCACAGCTTCCTGGACACAGCAGCTGAGCCCCCTTGTCAGGGTTTCCCTGGTGGCTCAGTGGTTAAGAATCTGCCTGCCAATGCAGGAGATACGGCTTCGACCCCTGGCTGGGGAGATCCCACACGCCACGGAACAGTAAGCCTGTGCGCTATAACTACCGAGCCTGTACCCTGGAGCCTGGGAGCTGCCCCTAGTGAGCCCTCACCCCACAGCGAGAAATCACTGCAATGAGAAGCCTGTGCACCACAATGGAGAGTCTCAGCCCCCACTAGCCACACCTAGAGAAAAGCCAGTGTAGCAACAAAGACTCAGCACAGCCAAAAATCCATTGCATAAATAAATAAAATATAAAAACATGTCTCCTTGTCCACTGCTGGGGTTGTGTTCAGCTGATTTTACATTCCTTGCTTCATCTTACTCCCGCCTCACTCCAGTCACTGGCGTGCCCTGAATCTCATGTAATCTTGTATAGCACCTTTTAAAGTGCCTTAAACACTAAGTTTCTGCTCCCATGTCATATGGAATTGATCACATCCTGCAGAACTATTTTCATCACTTAGGCCATGCTGATATTATTATAAATAAATACCATGGCTAATAATCCCAGTGCTTTATATAAAAAGATAATATATCAGTCTTCTTTCTTTTTCTTTTTTTGCTTTTTATCAAGACCATGCAGTGGATGTCTGTTATTTGTCTTTCCTTCAGTCATTCTTTAGGAAGTGGCCTGTCATCCACGGTACATATGTCTGGATGGGCATCAATCACATGGTTCTGATTCCTCTACCTTAGTTATGGGCCTGAAGAACATGCAAACAGGAGCAGTAAGAATAACTTTGGGGAATAGATATGGATGCTGGCAAGAAAGAGGATAATTTTCTGTTCCTTGGGATTCTTGGGTGCTGCTGACTATTTACACCCGCATGAAAAATTGGTGAAGCAGGTAAACACAGAGGAAAGATATGGGGGAAGGAGAGAGATGGGAAGGAATGTGAGGGAACAGAGATGATGTGATCATGATGGCCTTTCAAATCTGGATCAAGTCATTCCTGAAGACAGCCCCACCACTTTGAATTTGCCAGTTATATAAGCTAACCACTTCCTTTGCTGTCTGGTCTACCTGAGAAAGGTTACTGTCACCTGCACCTGAAAGGGTCCTTATTAACATGACAGTCATGTGCAATATCAACAGTTTTCACTGGACCACTACTAGCTTTAGGTCATTAAGATCAGCGCTACTGAATTCAATAAGTCAAGACTCTGCCTTCCATGGACTTACACCTTAGATGAGAAACAGGACATGGATAAAATAATTTTCAAAAGCACATAATTTTTAGGCAATGTCAAATTGCTCCCTGGAAGTAACACATTATGTTTAAATTCAATATCAACTCATTTTGCTCATCTGATATAATGGTAAAGAATATAAGTAGGAATTTTGGAAATAAGCTAGAGACCAATTCTCTCTTTCAGTTCATTTCTGTGAATCGTCAGGAGCACCACAAGTTGTATACTATTCTAGTCCAGTTATGCTTTATTGGAATATGGAATATAAAAGGAACAAG